ATAGGAATTATTGATTTAATCTTAATTTAGGTTTAATTTGATGCTACTTATAAGATTGCAATAAGCGATTAAATACGTCAAGAATATTTTTTTTCTCTGTACTAGAGATTCTTTCCGAGGAACATTGGGGTTACGAAAAAGAAAATGGTAAGTCTGACAGATAAATATATTTTCCCAAATTTAGTGATATATGTTTCGAAATAAAAATACTCCTGTTTTTTTCGCAGGCCCGAAGCATTGGGGCAAGAATTTTCCTACGTGTCTGATGGGAAAACACCAGTCACCCATTAACATAAAAGAGCGCAATGCCAAGAACGTCAGGCTACCGCGACTGAGATTGAGCGGCACTGACATTCCGTACCAGGCATACGTGACAAACAACGGTCACTCAGGTGAGAATTTCAAGGTTCGATTCTGCATTCGGTATGTCGAAGAAAGAAATCCATCGTATTGATTGCTCACTTAGCTCGAGGTTTTCTCGGATTAAGCGATACCACTGGGAACCCCCCGCGATCGCGTTCACGAAAATTAAAGTTAAGAGAAAAAATTATGTTATTGCAACATAATCGGGACGAGAAAACGAGAGAACAAGGAAAAGGAACTCATGTACCTTGTAATTATATAAATTATTCCTGGGGTGTAATAAACATACTGGTAAATCATGAACGTTGAATAGAGATGACTGAAACGCTCAGGCAAAAAGCTGACGAACGATTCGTACATGTCATTATTAGCGGTTAAATCCCGCCGTGATGGTCTTAATCATATTTATACATAATCGAGCTCATACGGAAGTTACTTTTAAAACGTGATGTCGTTATATAAAAAAGATATTTATATAATAATTACAGTTGCGTGTACAACACACTGATATTTTTAATAATTGCTTTGTCACGTACTTCTTTTTTCTTCCATGCAGTTATGCTAAAAACCAACGATTCCAATGCGGTCATGTTATCCGGAGGACCCTTGAGAAACAGTGTCTACGAATTAGAACAGTTCCATTTTCATTGGGGTAAGAAGATTAAGAAAGATTACGGTGGATCCGAACATTTAATCAACAACCACAGGTTTTCGATGGAAATGCATGCCGTCTTTCGCAAGAAAGATTACAAGTCGATGGAGAAAGCTCTTAATCATAGTGACGGTCTGGCTGTTTTAGCATGTGTTTTCAAGGTATTAGAAATCATCTTGATTT